ATTTCAGGTGCCCTGAGCATGAACTTGATGCCGTGGAATGGTAGAACCATAGATCAGAAGCCTCCACGCTCAACAGAAGTTTCAAGGGAAACTTTATGCAAAGCCCAGTGATTTTTTATTTTTTTGTTCCCTCTCAACCAGGTGTAGAGGAAGACCATGACAAGTTGTTTCCTCCCTCATGAGCAGTAGTATATCATGCTCCTCTCTTTGGGGGAAAAAAGAAGCACACGTTGGAGGAGTGCTTTCTTCATTTTTGCATCATGGATTTCCATATGGATGAAGTTCATAACAGCCTTCTCCTCGCTAGAGTTGGTAGCCATGCAGTTTATAGTTTATCTGTACAGTTAGCATTTCTAAGTGATCCCGACAAGATATGCAGATGATTACAAGATATTCTCTTTGCAGCCTCCCAGAAGGTATCTAGTATTGTTCCTCAGCTTGCAGTTAACTAAAGACATTCTTAATGTTACGTGAAAGTAGAGACTAGGCTATTTGGGCTCTTTGTACCCTTCTCTCCAAATCTCAGTGCAGAGTCTTCAAAATTAATTGCTTCTTAGATGCACGATTGCTGCTCACTTAGTCCTATGCAAAGAAGTACGTCATTCTATTCATTGGGATCTTGCTGTTCTGTAATTACGTGAAGAGCAAATGATTATGGATAGAGTTTCTCTGTGATTGTTAAAACAGGTAAATTTAGCATCATTAGAGAATAATGTGTAGCTGTAGAATTCTAAAAATTCTAAGATTTTTAGAGAAACATGCAGACAGTATTTAAAACAGTAAGTTTTATTTTATTATTCGTAAAGGTATTGTGTAAGTTGGAAAAAAGCTCTGCTGTTCTCAGGCTGCAAGAGCCACTTACGGTGAAATAATAAGGAAGAAAAAGAGCTGGTCTCCATTTATTTCTTGACACTGTAGAAACCCTGTAATTGAAATTTAGTTACATATGCTTTGAACAAAGGACAGTATTCTGACATTGCATTTTTTATTTAGGTGAAAAATACATTTTTCTTTTCACTGACTGACATAAAATAAAATTTCCCACATTACTGAAAGATGTAAATGATCTTGAAAATTTCATTATTAAAGAGACTGTATAACCCTTTCAAATTCAAATGTGAACTAAGTGGAGCTAGCTATGAAGTGCATCTTACACAATGTTCTATGGAATGGGTATATCTTATAAATCCAGGTAGCCTGAGCCCTTCACTTAGAATTAGTTTAGATTAGGGGTGCCTGGATGGCTCAGTTGGTTAAGCGTCCGACTTCGACTCAGGTCATGATCTCACGGTTCATGGGTTCGAGACCTGCGTCGAGCTCTGTGCTGACAGCTGGCTCAGAGCCTGGAGGCTGTTTCAGATTCTGTGTCTCCCTCTCTCTCTGACCCTCCCTGCTCATGCTTTCTCTCTCTCTCTCAGAAATAAATAGAAAACATTAAAAAAATTAGTTTAGATCAGTGGAGATGGTGTCTGCCTTGAACTTGGTGAGCTTGCCTTTCTTTCTTTCTTTTCTTTTTTTTTTTTTTTTTGAGTTAGACTTGCCTTTTACTTGTATTTAATGAATTCACTTAACCTTGTGGAACCTTTCTTGTGCCTTACCTCTGTTCATTCTAAGAGATTGTTTTAATGTACAAAATAAAGTTGGTGTGGTGGAGGGGAAGCTACCTATGTGGTGGCAGAACTAGACTGGTGTCTTAGTTTGAATTCTCCATAAAGGCAGACCCTGAGTCTGGATTGGTGTGCAAGGAGTTTATGTGGGAAGTGATTCCAGGAAGCATAGTGAGGGAGTAAGGAAATGAGACTGAGTGGCTGGGGAGCCAGCAAAGGGGGCATGTGTGAGGAGATCATCACTGTGGCTCCCTACTCTTGGGGAATCCTTGAGAAGCTGTGCAGAACACATCTTAGGGGTAAGGAAATCTAGGGAATTTACTTGATGTGGGAGACAGAATAATGCTCCTTCCCAAGATGTCCACATCCTGAGACCCAGAACCTGTAAATATGTTATCTTATAAAGGGTACTTTGCAGATGTGATAGAATTAAAGACTAGACATGGGAAGATGATCACAAGAGTCTTTATAAGAGAGAAGTAGGAGCGTCAGAGTCAGAGAAGAAAATATGACAAAGGAAGCAGAGTTTAGAGAGAGTGAGAGTTGAAGTGTTGTGCTATTGGCGTTGAAGATTGCGGAATGGGTCATACCCTTTCCCAAAGCAACTTGCTGGCATACTGAATAGGCATATTCATTTTTGAGAGACAAAGAAGACAGAGCATGAACAGGGGAGGGGCAGAGAGAGAGGGAGACACAGAATCCGAAGCAGACTCCAGGCTCTGAGCTGTCAGCACAGAGCCTGATGCCAGGCTAGGACTCATGAGCAGTGAGATCATGACCTGAGCTGAAGTCAGATGCTTAACCAACTGAGCGACCCAGGTGCCCTTAAAATATCCTTCTTGATAAGCAGTTGGGATACTTTTCAGCCAGTCTATTAAAAACCAAGCATACTTACAATTGATAGGATACATGGAAATGTTATTTTACCTGCAATTTCTTCTTTACTCTCTCCTTCTTTACTTTTTTACAGTAGATAAGCTAGGAAAGGGCACATTGCTCTGCTGGGATGCTATTCACAGGAGAATGCTGGTGGGCAGGAAGGAGAGACTGCAGTGTTTTGTTTTTTTTTTCTCTTCTCTTTAACTGAGGTATAGTTGACACACAATATTACATAACTTTTCAGGTGTACAACATAGTGATTTAAGAAGTCTATATCTCATTCTTTTTTTTTTTTTTTTAGAGAGAGTGCAAGCGGGGGAGAGGGGAAGAGGGAGAGGGAGAGAGAGAATCTTAAGCAGGCTCCATGCTCAGTGCAGAGCCCAACGCTGGGCTTGGTCCCATGACCCTGGGATCATGACCTAAGCTAAAATCGAGAGTTGGCCGCTCAGTGGACTGAGCCACCCAGGTGCCCCTAAAAAAAAAATTCAAGAAAGAAAACAAACCAGAATCGGTGGGATTAGAATGAATGTGTACTTGTGGGCTGAGGGGTTGTCCCAGTGAAAGGGCCCCAACCTCTTGTGCTCTTCACTGTCAGCAACCCAGCATTAACCTCCATTTGCAAAGGTCTAGAGTCTTCTGGGGTTCTGTTAATTTACAAGTAGTAAGAAATTATAAATAACTTAGAAAATTCTAAAAATGCAGAGAATAAAAGAAAATCACTCATAATGCTACAACCCATTGATGAGTTCAGTTAACACTTAGATGTACGTTATCCCAATTATATACATAATATTTTTATCCACACACTTGGGCTTACGTTATATATGCCCTATTTTTTTACTTGTAATATATCAAGTATTTTTCTTGAAATAATTTAAGTTTTTGTGTAATAGGTATAATCTAAGGTTTTGTTTCCCTGTGAGCTTTTCAACCAATCATCTATGGTTGAAAACAATGTTGTTTACATGTTCTTTTCTACTATAAATAATGTTACAGTAAATAGCATTTAACAAAAATTTTTGTGCATATCAATGATTCATTGTTTAAGATACATTTCTCTTACAACAGGAACTTTGGATTAAGAAGATTAAACCTTTAAAAAACTTTTAAGATAGATTGCAAGTCCCTTCCCACATCTCCAAAAAGTTGTATCAGTTCAAACCCCTTTTGTCAGTGTGGTGTTTCTCTATTCTTAAAAATAATTCAGCAAGGGCACTTGTGGGGATGAGCACTGGGTGTTATATGGAAACCAACTTGACAATAAACTATTAAAAAAAATTCAGCATTGATTCTTCTGTTTATAAATAATCATCTTTTTTTCTCTTTTTCTGATTTTTTTTCTTGTCTTGCCTTTGCATTCCCTTATCAATTTTTATTCCTTTGGTTGTATGTATGTATGTATGTATGTATGTATGTATGTATTTAAGAGAGCACATGCGAGTAAGGGAGAGGGGCAGAGGGAGTGAGAGAAAGAATCCCAAGGAGGCTCCATGGGAACATGATGCTGGACATCCCACAACCCTCAATCATGACCTGATCTGAAATCAAGAGTCTGTTGCTTAACTGACTGAGCCACTCAGGCAGCTTCCCCCACCCCCACCCCCCCCGGCTTTTTTTAGATTGTTGCTTTTCTTTTTTTATAGTGGTTGTGTTATGATGGAGTGGTACTACTTTCAAGCTATGTATGTCTCAGAAATACTTCCTGTTCTTGCCTTTGGTCAAAATTTCCTTCTTCAACTGTGAATGCAAATGCTTCTCTTTGGAGCCAGTGCTGAGGAGCCCCAGCCTGCCCTTTGCCCCTTCCTACCTTACTTTGCTTGGACATTGATTCAAGTGCAGAATACTCATTGAGCTTAAAAACTGAGAAATATGAGGAATAAAGTAAAGGAGAAAATGTCAGATGAGACATGAATTTAATATTTTATTTTATTTATTTTATTTGGTGGTGTATGGGTCAGGAATGAACTTGATATTTTAAAGGTGATTTCCTGTATCCTACCCCAGACCTCCCTCTAAAGCATTCAATAGTAATAAAATACATTTAACAACAAAAATATTCTCTGTTCATCTAACGATGATATGAAGGATATGCTTATGCTCTCTGTTGCATTTTTTTTAAAATTAGAGACAGAGAGAGCACAATCTGGGGAGAGGGGGAGAGGGAGAGACAGAGAATCTTAAGCAGCCTCCATGCTCATCCTGGAGCTTGATTTGGGCCTCAATCCCATGACCCTGGGATGATGACCTGAGCTAAAATCAAGAGTCAGATGCTCAACTGACTGAGCCACCCAGGTGCCCCTCTGTTGCATTTTTAAATAAATGAGAATAAAAACAAGACTATTATCGTCACGTTAATACTGTTGACTCTTTCACAGTATATTATATAATGAAACCAGTGCATCAAATTAATTTAATACCATGAAATATAAGTTATCAGATTAACTTAATTCAATGAAATATAAGTAAAAAGATGGCTATTTACATTTTATTCTCTTATTTTCCCTAGTGAGAAGCTGGATGGAAAAACTAAAAGACAAGGTAAGAGAAGTATTTTCTTCCTTTGGATTTACCTTAAAGGGCATGGCTTTGTCAAATAAAAGATCTTCAAAGTAACGGAACTTTAATTCATCATTCTGATTCTGGTGACCTACTCGAAGATGCAAGGCCACTTCCACAAGCCCAGCAAGAAGGAAGACCTTCCTTTAATTTCCTTCTTGTATAACTCAAGGCTGTAAAATATCCTTATGTATGAAGGTGGAGTTTCTTTCAGGAATCAGGAATGGAATATCATTGTGTTTAGCGTTTCTTGTCCCAATGCAAGGCTCTTGTAAGCCTGATTCTCCTGTATGAGGAAGCAAAACCTTGGATTTAAAAAAAACATTTATTATTATTATTATTATTATTATTATATTTTTGAGAGGGGGAAAGGGAGAGGGAAAGGGAGACTGAGGATCCGAAGCGGGCTCTGCGCTGACAGATGTGAGCCCAATGCAGGGCTCTAACTCACAAACATGAGATCATGACCTGAGCTGAAGTCAGATGCTTAACCAACTGAGCCACCCAGGCATCCCAGAAACACCTTGGATTTTGGAAGACATTGATTCTTCTGACCCAACGGCAAAAACGGATAGACTTGAGTTACAAATAAAAGTTTGGGATGGAAAGGGAATCCTTAAACCATAGTGCAGGGTGGGATGGAAGAAAAACCCCTGGGCCCCTGAGCACTGTCCTTAGATCAGCTCTTCTGTAGTCTCTCACAGCGCCGCTACGCACTAAGTGACACAGAGCTGACGTGCTTGGAATGGCCAACTATAGAAACAGATTTTTCTCTCCAGGGCTAGTTCTGCCGTCTCTGTCTGTCATTGACAATATTAATTTCCATCCAGGTTCCTGTTTTTCATTTTCTTTTGGTTTTCAACACTCTCCAAGTTTACATTTTTGGTTATCTTAAAATTTTAAACTGGAATTACTCATAAAAAATCTTGATGGAATCCTGAATTCTTTGCTGTAGCCTGTGTCAGATCTCATTACTACAACCTAGCTCAGATTTAACTGGGGATTTAGTGAATGGAAATCTTTTCAGTTACCAGATATTGGGTTACTTCTAAATCATCAGTCCCAAGATCTACTTCTGTTGATGGCATTCCACATCATTTTTATAATTTGAAGTCAATTCTCAATATTGGGGTGATCAATATTTATTTTGCCACAGCCTAATGTTAAAGAATAAATTACAATTAAAATCATATGATTATATTTTTTAGTTTTTTTAAACATTTTGTTGTGGAGAGACAGAGACAAAGAGTAGGGGAAGGGCAGAGAGAGAGAGGGAGACACAGAATCCGAAGCTGGCTCTGAGCTGTCAGCACAGACCCCGACTTGGGGCTCGAACCCACGAACCGTGAGATCATGACCTGAGCCAAAGTTGGACACTTAACTGACTGAGCCACCCAGGTGCCCCAAAATTGTATGATTATATCAATTCTCCTCATTATGATCTTTGTGCTTCTTAGTAAAGTTTAGCATAGTTGGTTTTTGAGAATGAGGCTATTATGTGTTCGTACATATTAAAAGTGATATTGAAAAATTTTAAGCATATTAAGGTTACTGGAGGCCATTTTCATAGCTCTTACGGGTCCAGTTGTCTAAGGGAGGTAGGATCAGACAGACTGAGTAGCATTTAGGGGGAAGAAAGCTCAAAAGTTAAGAACTGAACATACTTAACATTAGTAGGGCTTCTTGTTATTTTTCAGGAGAAAATATGATGCAATGAAAAGGAAATAGGCTTTGGTAGATTTATTTAGGAATCTATATATCATTGTTTCTGTAGAAAATATCCTTCTGAGTAAAAAAAAAAAAAAGCACAAAGAACCCTTAAGAAAGTCAGTTTTGAAGTCAGATATTGCAAAATTTCTTACCTGTATCTATAGATAGCTTTGCCACAATTTAAAAAAATCTGTGCAGTTTTAAAGAAAGGCTGTATTTTCTATTTCTGTAGACCCTTCTTATTTTGTCTCAAAGGCTTGGCACCTTCTCTCTACTCGTTTTCACCAAGAGAAATAATTTTGTGTGTGACCCTTAGTTTTCTGGATTGAGTTTTTCCAGCCCCCTCTCTATTTTCTTCTGTAGTATTTTTTCGGTATGTTTTAATTAAAAAAAAAAAAAAGAAAAAATAGTTGAGATTCTAACTATGTTTGGCTTATTTGATGCCCTATTTCTTCGTATTTTGGCCCTCTTTTGGAGGAACTCACTGTAATCTTTCCCATATCCCCCCTTCCTCTGTGAGTGAAATATTATATACTTACCTGCTACGTGCATTCAGATGCGTGCACACACATGTGTGTATATGTATCTTCCTTTATCTTTCCATCTCTTTCTCCCTTACTTCCCTTTTTCACCTATCTAGCTAGCTGGTGTGCTGTCATCTATAAAAGTCTTGTGAGTTATTATCTTCAGAAACTGTTTGGGAGCATAACTGTTGCCTCTGATGAAAGTCACAGAATCTCTTAGACCTGAAAACTAAATACTTACTTGACTGGCTCTTTGGCCGACCAGGACATCTTCTCAGTCTTGCTTTATTTAATTGTACCCAATATTGGTATTTCTGTTAGTTGGTTTGGCTCTAGAAAGAAGAGTGTTCTAAAAAATTCTGAATTATCCCTTTTGCTGTTATTGTTTTGGATTTTTCTATTAGTTAGGATTAAGATCAGCTGTGAGTGACAGAGAACTCCCCCCTCCCCCCCATGATAATGGCTTAACCAAGACAAAGATTGTTTCTCATTTATGAATCTGGAGGTAGCAGTCTAGGGTTAATGGGAAGCAACACTGTGACAGGGGCTCAGGCTTCTTGTATTTGATGCTCCACCATTTGTGGACCTTCACTCCCAAGGTCACCTTATGGTCCTGGATGGCAATTCCAACTTCACTAGGTCCATATTCTAGCCAGAGGGAGTAGGAAAAGGGAAGGCAAAGAGACCTCCCCCCAGTTAAAAGGGAGGATGAAGGCGCTCTTATTCTTAAAAAGTGGGGGATAAAGGCTGTGCTCCCCTCTTAAAGAGCATGGCCTGCAAGTTGCACCTGCCACTAGCATATTATCTTCTTAGTGAGATTTATCACATGGTCACAGCCAGCTGCACAGAAGGCAGGGAGAAGTGATTGTTACCCAGCCTGAATGGGAGGTTCTACTGCTCTGGAAGAAGAGGTGAATGAGGATTGAGGGACAGCCCTGTACTCATTCCATCATCACTTTCTTTCTGGTTACATGTCCAAGGTGGTGATGCTCGTTAGGCAAATCCTAACTTGGCTACCTATTGATATATCTTTTCAGCATCTAAACTTCTTCTCAAAATTGGAGAATCATAACAATTACAGTAACATAATAAAGGCCAGCTCTGTTGTTATGTCACCAAGATCATTCTATTCCTTTTAGCTTTAGGAAGTAATCTGGAAAATGGGTGACCGGGAGTATACTGCACAACAGATTCTCATGTGTGGTCCGGACCCACAGCATCAGCATCACCTGGGACCTTGCTAGAAATGCAACTCTTGGGTCCCGCCCTACACATACTGAGTCAGAAACTCTGGGAACCGGGCCCAACAATCTGTTTTAACAAGTCTTGCAGGGGATTCTGGCACATGCTGAAGTTTGAGAACCACTGTTGCAAAGCAATATAAGGGCACTATCTTAATTCAGCAGATTTTAGGCAGTACAGCATGTCATTTGGTTTTCTTATACCTTTCTTGAAAACAGATGTTTCTGTATATGTGCTGCCGAAGCGAGCACAAAACAGATGTTTCTGAATAAATACATTATCCTATGAAGGAATACTTTCTTATGAAAGTATTTCTCTTTTTATGTTCTTATGAACAAAGTAAAAACAAAGTAAACAAAACCCCAAAACAAACGTAAACTAAAAACAACTATGTCTAGTAATAATTTAAAAAATGTAAAACTTACTTTTTATTTGGAGCTATTTACAAAAAAAAAAGATACAAGAATAAGTACAAAGAATGCCCCTTTACCTTTTACCCAGATGCACTTGTTTTTAACATTTTATCTCATTTACTGGTCTGTCCCCCCATTTCTGCCTCTTTTTCTTCTGAACCATTTGAGGAAGAGTTGCATATACCATGGTGCTTTGACTCCAAATACTTTAGTGTGTATTTTCTTTGAGTGGGAATATTCTGTAAGCAAACGCAGTACAGTTATCAGCTTGGGTATATTTAACATTGATACAGTACTTTTTATCAAATCTGGCATCCATATTTCAGTTTTTTCAACATACTCAAAATACCTTTCTTTTTTTAATGTTCATTTACTTTTGAGAGAGAGAAGAGCACAAGTGGGATAGAGGCAGAGAGAGATACACACACACACAGAATCTGAAGCAGGCTCCAGGCTCTGAGCTGTCAGCACAGAACCTGATGCGGGGCTTGAACCCACGAGTTGCGAGATCATGACCTGAGCTGAAGTCAGATGTTTTAAACGACTGAGCCACCCAGGTACCCCTCAAAGTACCTTTCTAAAAGCATTTTTCTTCACCAGTACAGGACCTAGTCTAGGGTCATGCAACTCATTTTGATTGTCATGATTTGTTAGTTTTTATAGTCTGGAACATTTTTATAGCCATCTTTTATCTTTCACAACACTGACATTTAAAAAACTATAGACTTTTAAAAAAACATTTATTTATTTATTTTTGAGAGACAGAGAGAGAGAGAGAGAGAGTGGGGGGGGGGAAGGGCAGAGAGAGAGGAAGACAGAGAATCATGCAAGCTCTTCGCTCAGTGCAGAACCTGATGTGAGGCTCGAACTCACGAACCATGAGATCATGACCTGAGCGTAAATCAAGAGTTGGACACTTAACCGATTGAGCTGCCCAGGTGCCCCAAAAGAATAGAGACTTTTTAAAAAATATATAATAGTCTTCATTTTAGGTGGATTGGATGTTTCCTCATGATTAAATTCAAGTTCTGCATTCTCAGTTGGAATATACGCAGGTGCAGTGTGTCCTTCTTAATGTGTTACATGTGGAGCTTCATGTACATCCAATGTTTTGAACAGAGAAGAGGTAAGGGGCAGGATTTAGAACTTAAAAGATATGTACACGTATCTTACTTGTTTTCATTTGTGCAGGAAACAAGTCATGGGCGAGTTAGGAAGTTTCTTCTCCATTAGTCTGATTTTGAAGAGGAATGATTGAAATACACTTGAAGAGGAGGTTACTTTGATCCCATCTTGTAATTTCAAAGCAAATGTTTCACACACACACACACACACACACACACACACACACACACACCCATGAGGGGACAAAAGAGAGGAGAGAGAGAGATATGAGTTGAGTTTTGGTGAAATCTAGATGATTTAAAGTTCTAGAAACAAGAAGTCTAAATGTGTAAATAAGAATTATGGGAAAGAGTGACACTTTTTAGAATCTTCATGCTATTGGTGTGAGGTGAAGTCACATAGTATGAGGAGACCCACACAGAGAATGGTCGAGCTGAGCTTCCAAAAGCTCAAACATCATCATTTGAATGCACATCATCCTCTTAGAGTCTAATCTATGGGCTTAAATGGTCGTATTTCAATATGTACATACATTTCCATGCATTGGGAATGGTGGTTTTAAAACGATATACTCACACTTCTTGTGAGAGTACCAAAACTTTGCTCTTGTCTGGCATTTTCCCACATGGAAAATGACAGTTTTTATAAGCTTTATGTAGATCTGGAAGAACTGGAGAAAAAGTTTGGGTTTCTGCAAAGCATATTAATGTGTTGAAAAGTGACTGGGCTTTGTTTCTTGGAGAAAAACACTTAGTAGGCTGATGAACAATGCTATTGTTCTCCAATTAATGGAAAAATTTCCATATTCTGCTCTAACACAAGAGTCTGGAAATGAGAACCAGTGGTTGAGCTGGCTAGGTGCAGGAGGGAGCTGCAGTTTTATACGGTCTTGTGTGTTCCTTTGATGTACTTTTGGAAATGTTGAGAAAGCATCACAGCCTGCATACTTCAGCACTCTTTTAGAAAACTTTTCTTCTCTGTCCCTCTCTGATTTTGGCTCATTCCAAAAGGTACTAGAAATAGTTTGTGCTATAATAGAAAGTTTAGAAATAGTCAAGTAAATGAACAGACTCAAGCCCCTCGCCCCCAATAATGCCTATCTAAAGTTCAAAAATTTTAATTTTTTATATATTTTGTCTGGGTGGGCCTCTAGAAGGGGGCCTTCTTGGAAGACAAACCAGCACCGCGTTTTTCAATGAAAGCACTCTAGGTAAGTTACATAATGCTTAGGCCAATACATATTGGCCAAGATGCAGAGAGTACTGTTAGTAGCTACTCATCCGAGCCCAGAGATGTGTGGACATCACACTGCTCTCTTAGGAGCAACATATTCGTAGTGACACCTTGGGAACATTGGAGACACATCAGCTACCAGATACCTCCAGGCTCTTTGGAAGGTGTCAGTGTGGTTGGCAGTGATCTTTGTACCCTTCTCTGCCACTTCCTTTCTTTGAGGCCGGGGATGCTCAGAATTCCCTCCCAAGCCCCAACTTTGGTCTTGTCTCTTGAGCAGATTTTTCCTTTCATATAAATCCCACTTTACGTGCACACCCTCTCCCCTCCTTGTCTTTCCTGTCTGTGCCCCAACATCTAGCATCCTCCATCTTCCTTCTCTTACTATAATGCAGCTGAGGTCGTGAGAGAGCAGCCACCAATGTCAAGGCCCTCCCTTTGCCCCCCAAGAAGCACAGTATTCCAGAGGGCACTTCAGCCCCCTTGGAACTTGTCTCAGGCTGATATTTCCAATTTATAGCATTTTAATAGTCCTGGTGTTCTGGGAAGCTTACTTCATCCGTCTCTAATACAAATTATATTTCTGCCACCAAAACCTGATGTTGATAAATGTACATGAGGACATGGCTGGTGGAGCCTCTAGGTCTGGGTGATTTATTTCAATACTTCTTCTAAATACTTGACTTTCCAAAAATAGTCATATCTTTCTCTCTGTTGCCTCCTCCCGTAAAGTACCTTTATTCTAGGTGCTATTTGATAGCAAAGCAGATAGGAGAATTCCAGGTGTTTAAGAACCTGCTGCCATCCAGCAAAAATGAGAAACCCAGGGCAGTGGTCCATTCAGCATCCTAATGCATGTTTCCTTTTCTGTGCAGGCTGGTTACATGTCTGGGATGCTGGTTCCCGTAGGGGTTGGGATAGCTGGAGCCTTGTTCATCTTGGGAGCACTCTACAGCATTAAGGTTATGAATCGGCGAAGGAGAAATGGCTTCAAAAGGCATAAGAGAAAGGTACGGAACCAACAACAGCAAAACCTAATCAGCTTCCGAACATTCTTCGCTTTTCTAATTTGCTTATTAAAGCACACGGGGCTTAATGATGCGTGAATGGTACTGACATGCCCAGTGGTTTGGATTAGCTGCCTGCAGCTGCTGCTTTGCGTGTCAGTGTGTCTTTTAAAGGGGACTGTTTCTCAGTTTTGCTCTGCAGCAGAAAGGGTTTAATGCTTTTCTGTTTTCTTTCTCCAGCAGAGAGAATTCAACAGCATGCAAGATCGAGTAATGCTCTTAGCCGACAGCTCGGAAGATGAATTTTGAATTGGATGGGAGTTTAATTGGGATATTCGACTGCATTATCATTTTATTTTTTATTTCGGGGCAAAAAAAAAAAAAAAAAAAGAACAGCATCCTGCCACATTGTTACTGTCAGGCCATCAGTCTTACTATCTTCTGGGCAGTAGATTTTGTACTGAGCAGAAAAGGCATGCTGTATACTTAATGCAATAGGCAGTGTTTGTTTTTCTTCTGTAGTGAATTTTCCATGATCATAGGCTCCAGTTCATCAATATGCACTGTTCATATTGTTCACCGGGAGTTGCTAGGTAAACAATTTGTATTTTTCCAAAAGACCTTTTCCTTGGTTTACCTGCAGTAAGTATAACGATTTGCTGCCAAGGCATGTTGACTGTGAAATAGAAATCTTAACAAAGAGTAACTTGTGATGACTGTATTTTGCCTACTTGAAGCTACAGGCTTCTGGGCCACGGTACATCCTCTATTCACATCAAGAGCAGCATCAAGTTAGAATGAAATCTTCTTTTGGTCAAGAAGACTTCTCGGTGCATTAGGATTGTGTCTAGATTTGTAGGTACCTTGCATTACATACTCCAGTCTCCCAGTTTTATTATTTTTCATCTTCTGTTTTATTCTCATTCTTGACAGGAAAAAAAAAAAAGCACGAGAAATAATACGTTAAATTGAGTCTCGGTCTTAAGGCAAACTTGCTTTCTGAAATAGTGTAATTGAGCCCCACAGACCTATCAATAGATTCTTACATGTTTAGCCTTAAGAGATGTTCTTTTTTTGTGTATCATTTGATGTTGCAAGAAGAAATGAGGAAGGAATCAGGAAGAAAATGAGGGCTGGTAAGCTCTCAGAGCATTTATCTCTGCCATTTGGCTCCGTGCTTGTGTGGCCACTATTGTGAATTATTCAGAGCGCTGTTTTTCTCCTTCTAGGGTCCTGGCCATGGAACGGTTGGGCCAGTGCTGGTTCTTGCTTGGCTTTATTAGACAACAGACATCTTGTGGTGGATGCAGGCTCTCTGATCAGAGTCCTGGCACATGATGGAGCTTATGAAAACCCAGCCTGCCTCACGGCATCCCCTTTTGGGGATGTTGCCCCATGTTAGATTATTCCTCATTTCTTTTGCAATGTAATTCCTTACCCTGTCTTTTACATCTGGGTATCTGGGACTTCAGTAAGTCAAGATTTTAGGGAAAGACTTGGCTCATCTATGTGGGGGAATACAGGTTACCGCTAACACTGTCCTTAGCACCTGATGCATGGAGAATCTGTTCATGTTAATTGGAGCCTGCTGTGCTGCATTCAAGGCAAGCTGCAGTTATTCCTCATGGCTACTGTATGATGTGGGATGTATATTATGACGTAGGACATATGTTTTTATTCTCCCCATTGACTGAAGACAGACCCGAAGCAGAGAAGTGAAATGATTATCCAAAATTATGCCCAGGAACAATCAGAGCAAGAGCCCACTTCGACTCAAAACTGGGCACCCCTATCATCAATTCAGTGCCCTTCCACATACTTGGCAGGAAGCAATGACGTTTCAGAGTCCTTCTTTAAAACCAAGATTCTTTTTTTTTTTTTAATTTCTGAGAGAGACAGCATGAGCAGGGGAGGGTCAGAGAGAGAGGGAGATACAGAATCTGAAGCAGGCTCCAGGCTCTGAGCTAGCTGTTAGCACAGAGCCCGACGTGGGGCTTGAATCCACGAACCATGAGATCATGACCTGAGCAGAAGTTAACTGACTGAGCCACCCAGGTGTCCCTAAAACCAAGATTCTAAGGAAATACAGGAGACCCTTGAACAACATGGGATTGAACTTAATGGATCCACTTATATGTGGATTTTTCAATACAGTACAATACTATAAATGTATTTTCTTTTTCTTATGATTTTCTTAACATTTTCTTTTCTCTAGCTTACTGATTGCAAGAACACAGTATATAAAACATATAAAATGCCAAATATATGTTAATTGGCTGTTTATGTTATCAGTAAGGCTTCTGGTCAATAGTAGGCTATTAGTAAGGTTTTTGGGGAGTCAAAAGTTATACTTGGATTTTCCTTTTTAAAAAAACTTTTTTAAATGTTTATTTATTTTTGAGAGAGAGAAACAAAGTGCAAGCGGGGAGGAGCAGAGAGAGAGAGGTAGACACAGAATCCCAAGCAGGCTCTGAGCTGTCAGCACAGAGCCCAATGTGGGGCTTGAACCCACAAACCATGAGATCATGACCTGAGTCTAAGTTGAACGCTCAACCAACTGAGCCACCCAGGCGCACAGTTGGATTTTCAACTGTGCAGGGGGCTTGGCACTGTGAACCCCTGTGTTGTTCAAGGATCAACTGTATATAGTTGGTTGGCCAAAGAACATTTCACATGAATTTCTGTCTTTGTGAAATGAATAATGCCTTACTAACTTCCCTCTTACTCACACAGGTTATTTTTCTCTCCTACCTCAGTTATTTCTTTTACAACCACATAGATTTACATATCACCTGTAGCGAACTAATAGAAAAAATTTTCTAGAATCCATTGTTGAATGATAGCTAGCTTACACGAATGTTTTTGTCAGATTATTTTATTTAATTTTATTTACCAAGAGATGTAAGCAAATGTATGAAATTGGTCAAGAGAAATGAGAAACTCAAATGCAGTCAACTAGAGGTTAACAATTGACAAATAAGCTCAAAGTCAGGTTTTAAAAATAAACTTCAGAACCATGACAGTCATAAGTAATTTGTAATTTCAAGAGCAGAGGCATCCTGATATTGCATAGGGCATGTTTGCCTTTTCTAAGAGCAGCCCCTTGCTGGAAGGGTCTCTAAGGTTAGGAGGAGAATGGGCACAACTGTTTTCTTGACAAGCTATTTATCATGAACACACAAAAAACCATTTCATTCAGCAATACCTGGGCGATGCTACTAGCTATCAGTGCCTCAGGCTACTCTTAATCTGTGGTTTTAACGAGACCATGGCTAATAAATAGGTTGAACTTTCAAACTATGGAATGATAAAGTAACAAATAACAGACACGTACTTTCATTCTTTCCAGAAGGCCATGGGGATGATATGTACGTGCATTTAGGCCTAATCAGAGGTGTCTCTGCAGGCCTTTTTGGGAAAGTGATTGTTAAGAGAAAAAGAGATGCCTTAGATCACAGTGGATTTCTGTATGAACCCATTTTGACACCTGGGTTGCGTGGAAGGTTCTGTGGATGGCTCAACTGCTATGCTTATTTTGGCCACTTTCACTGCCAATGGCTGTGGCACAGTGATGTTCTGTAGTTAGCTGACATTATTGAGAGGATCAGAAAAGGTTGCCTTGTTCTAAACAAAACCCGAGATTGGGGTGTTGCCACCAGAGGAAGTGGGTATACGATAGTCCAGATTGCAAGCAGTACATCAGGCACTGGTAGGTTTACCTAAAAGAAGTGATTGGTATGCGTATATTTGCACATTAAAAACAAAAAGGCAACTCTTTATTCTAACAACTAACCTTAAACCATTTAATAGCAAAAAAGTAAAGCTGTCTGGTAAGGGGGGCTGATAGCTGCAGACTTCAGTCATTGACACCTTCCCCTCTGAGCTGTAGTCACCCTGTCAGAACTGTAGCTGTCGCATGGCAGGGACAGGGATGGTATCTTATTATCAGAGGCAGTGTTCCCCAAACTCCAGCTCCTAGGAATCACCCGGGAAACATGTTCCACACAACACATTCCAAGGCTCTGTCCCAGACCCATTGAATCAGAATCTCCAAGGGAGGAGCTTGGGACGTTTGTGCCCAGGCAAGTTAGAGAGTAGCGTTAGGTGGCTCTCCATCAAGAGAACAGCTTCCTTTGTAAAGAGATGAGGGAGGGCAGGTCCCATGGGGAAGAAACTCTTTAACTAGTTAGCTATCCAATAAATCACACCTGCCATTGTGGAAAAGGGAAAACAAAAGGAAAGAGAGAAGGGTAGAAGCTTCTGGAAAGAATAGAATGATGGGCCACAGAGAAAAGGGTTCCTCCTATGTCCCTGATGTCTTTTTCTCTAATCAGAAGATAGCACTTTTCTTTCAAACCTCTTCAGATTTTTCCTCTCCCATAAGTTGTTTCTCTCAGTAGCTGCTGGTTTAATTTATATGCAATATCTGGAGTTAATTAGTATCCCAGGGAAACAGATTCCCTTAGCAATGCTTTAGCCTTGGCTTCAGCTCATAAACTGCCTCAGATACAATCTTCCAGAAACATTTTCTTAAAGTACCTGTATCTCTTACACAGGCCAATAAGGCTGTGGGGAAATTGTTAAAGCACAGTTTTAGAACATATTTAAAGTAGTTTTAGCTTGGTCACTCAAAGCTGGTTCTTTATTTCATTATTGTGATTTTTTTTTTAAAGGCTAAGACTTAAAAGTCAAATGTTACAGAGACATCAGAAAATAATACAGAGCCATATAGAACATTCCAAATGCCTGGTGCTTCTCTCCACGTTCCTTCAGGTATCTCTTTCATGTGGAAGTCCAAATGAAATATCCAATTTCTGTGGATATGAATAATCGATGTTTCTATCAGCTGCCAAAAAGGCAGCTTTTGGGAAAAAGAAAGCTTATCTGGCTGAAGTTTATAGCTGTGTGCCCTTGTGGCAAGGTAGGCTTTGTTATGATTACAGGTAAATCTGTGAAAGAAATCTGTACTTTTAAGGGTATGTGAAGGTATAGCTACAAGGGAAGATGTGTGGGTAGAAGAAGATACAAGAAAAGTCATGATGCAATGGAAACGTAAACATGGCACAAAGCACTGGAATGTGCTAAAGGAGACCAACGTTCCATTGAATGGACTGATGCTTGGAAGAATGATACAGACAAGTAAGGAGAAAAAGGCAAGTGTGGTAGACCATTGGCAAGGGAAGGGGCTATAAATCTAAATTTGTTTCCATCCTCTTCATCCAAGAAAATTATCCTACACTAGGTAGAAGGGACATGAGTGGGAGGGAATTGAAACCCAAGATCAATGAGGAGGCAAAAAGAGCTTGGTTACTTTAAGTAAGCTTAATCTCAGTTAAATGTCTTTCTTAATTACATAGAGTTCAAA